TATTACCAAAAATTCTATAAAATTGTTGCTTATAAAGCATTTTTTATATTATACATGTTTAGGATAAATGAATATTTATTTTTCAAATTATTTTAATTTAAAATGCCAATTGGTGGATTAAAATTAAATGCGAAACAAACTTAAATATATCAAAATAATGTTTAATATAATTTTATACAAATCTAAAGAGTAAATACTACACTTTGGGTGTTCTGTTAAAAACCTGGTTCTGTTTCTATGAATTCAATTTACAATTGAATTATGGAAATACCAAAAAAAAAAACATTAATTATAAATTTTAACATTATTTTGGAAAAATTTAAGTAAAATTTTGTATTAAAAAAAATAAAGAATAAAAAATTTATGAACACTCTTTAAACAACAGTAAAAATTACAGTCAAACTTCCATAACTCGAAATATCATTTTGCAAGGAAAATGTTCGACTTATGGTAACTTCGAGTTCAAGAAATGTATGTAACTTGATCTCTAAACCCTGTTGCACTCTATTTAGTTTGAGTTATAGAAATTCGACTGTATTTACAAGCTTCTAAGTGTTCTAAAATCACTTTTTCATGATACACTGCTAAATCCACCGATTTGTTCAAAAGTTAATAGCAATTATTAATTTATGTAAATAATTCCAAATTGTATAGTTTTTAGTAGAGGTTTTCAATTTATATTTACGATAGTTGTTAAATGCTTATCTCTTCTGTTAATTTGAACAAAATAGTTAACAGAAGAGTTTCTTTATATCATATATATATGTATATTACTGGTAAAAATATTATTGTTTACAATTATTTAGCAAAAACTAAGAATTGTGTAACATGCTACCAGTAAATTTATATAAAAAAATTGTATATAACAATATTATAATAATATTAAAAAAAAATTTACCAATTCATTTCTTCAACAAAAATCAAATTATAATATAATTGAGAAGTTTCGATACATTTAGGTAGATTTGTTTTTGTTTTTTAATTTTAATTAATTTAATTAAGAAACTATTTGAATTATATCTAAATAATTTTTTTTTTCTTATTGAATTTCTTAATAACATTAACTTGCGTTTATTGTATTATTCATTTATGATTTGATATATAAATGGTAAATGTTTTTTTTTTTGATTGCTATATATGTAATTTCAATTATCTAAAACTTATTTTATTATTTTAGTTAATATTGTACTTCAGTTATATTTATAATTTTAATTTTAAAACCGACAACATTTTTTATTGTGTTTTGTTTTATTTTATTTTGTTATCTCTTAACTGTGTTAGATTTATTATTATTATTTTTTTTTGTATTGTATTTCTATATTATTTTATTTGTTATATTCTTAAGGTATTGATCTAATTGGTGCTATTTTATTAACGTAATTATTTTTACTTTAATTAAAATAACATAATAAATTTATTTATATTATTCTGTATGTATTATAAACATATTAAATAATTTGGTTGAAAATATTGAAGAATACATTCTTAGTTTGTGTTTTATTATTCTATTTTTATTTATTGTCAGCATTATAAATATAATTTTACTATATTTTTTTTCACTCAATTTATTAATTATAATTCTATTTTATTATCTTACAATTATAATAAAGAATAATAGTATAATTACCTTAATTCTTAAATATAGAATGATATAAATATAGGACAACTTTTTCTCCTTCCTGATTAGTAGACAATTAATTATCTTTTATTTTCAACAATTATAGATATTAGCTTGTCTTCTTCTTCATGGTATATTTTTTATATGTTATGCTAAATACAATTTTTTTGTATTATTTTATTTTATTTTATTTTATTTTTCTTTTATTTATTTTAGAATTTAAGATTATAAGTATTTTATTTTTGTAAATTATGTTTTAAAAATATCGTCAGGAACCATAATTATTTTAATAAATTATCCAAACTATATTTATTTTTTTTTTCAATTGTATTGGTAATAGATAACTGTATTACATACATTACATAATTTAAAATGAATTATATATTTTTATTTTTTATTCTGTTAAAGTAGAAACTTCAATATAATAAAAATTCTGATCAATTCTTGTAGCTGTTTTCTATTTTAAATTTTAAAATATTTTGTACTGTTCAACTGGTTGAAACAAAAATATATTTATGAGATAATCAATGAATCAACCATTCACAAAGATGCTATATATAATAAGTTACAATGTAAGGAATACCATTTATTAATAATAAAACCTACACGAGCAGTTTAAGATTTAAACTTTAATAAATTTGTAAGGTAAAGTTAAAAAAATAAAACTTTTTTTTTAGAATTCTTGTCACAGTAAAGAACAGTTTTACTATTTTTAAAAATAATATTTTAATTTAATGCTTTTGGGAATTTTTGTTTTAAAAAATTCAAGTTGCTTTCTCTTTTAATAATGAAACATTGTTTTTATCTAAATATATTTTTATATATATGAAATAAGTTAATCATATTAGTATAATTCATAAAATGATTAATATACATATATTAAGATAAATTATTGTTATTATCTGACATTGTTTACAAATAAAATGTATTATTTTTATATTAGCAAAACTAAATATAAAGCATAAATAAATTTGCTTGTCCAATTGAAAATATTATATATCATTAAAAATCATAGAAGTCATAGAAGTTAGAAAAGCAAGTGAGAGCAAAATTTAACAAATTTATATATACTATAGCATAGAATTGTTCAAAGCGCATATATATAATTTATTATTGTAAGTTTCTCATAAGTTTTAATTTTTAATTAAGCAAAAGAAAAATGTTGGCTTGAAAATTGTTTGCAATAATCAAGGCAAACAATTAAATTTATATATTCATATATGTCAAATTATGTCTCTTGCAAAGATAAATTAAAAATAATAGAAAAAAAAGCAAATACAATTTGTGAAAGCTATGTTATTAAATAATTGAATAAAACGCATTCAACGCATTCAAAATTTGGGCGTTCGTTATAGAAAATAATAAAGATAAAGAAGTAAAATGCTAGAAAAAATTAATAAAATTGCACTATTGTAAAAATTTATTATTATTTTGATTTTCATTTCATTCATAAAATTAGAAATAGTAAACACTTGGACGCCATTAATTAGAAGCTGGAACCATTTTAATATAGTAAAATTTATTGGCCGACCACACAGCTATTTCATTAAATATATAATGAACTAATCTAGCGCCTATATAGCTGTTTTATTAAAATCTGAAACAATTGTATTATCAGCCAATATATATATATATATATATATATACAAGCCAACTTTACTTTGATTACTTTATTGAAAATTGATTTTAGAAATTGAAACTGCCTTTTTAATACTTCATTTTCTGTTCGAAATAGGTTTCTTGTCATACGACATAAAAATTCCCAATTAATAATTTAATCGAGCAGTATAAATCTATATAAATCGGAAAGAAAATAATTTAATTTTATCTACTGAACTAGTAAACCAGTATAATCTAACTAAATATGGACAATATTGATAATAGGACCGATCATTATCTATAACAGTTTGTCAGGGTTTCAAACAAATCAACCGCAACAATTTCAGAGAATTACAGGACAATCACATTAGTAATGTGATGAAAATATTTTTTTAATGTTAGTATACATAATTGAATTAAGAAAGGGTTATGCAAATCGATGTTATTGAATTTAGGTAAAGGTATCAGGTATCCTGGTCTGGTTAAAATTTGTGCATTAGATAAGGTGGATAATATGGGTGTAGATAAAGGATGGCATTGGAGATCTAGATAAAGGATGACATTAGTATGTAATTTGGCTTTCTTATATATAGTAAAATTCTCCTAACTCGAATCGTCAAGGGGATGGCAAAAAGTTCGAGTTAGGAAAAATTTCAGTTATAGAGAAAATACTTTTTTTTTAGCAATTCCGTCGCTACTCCTGAAGATTTGCAATGCTATTTTTCATTTATATTGGCAAAGCCAATAAAATATTTTAAATTGTTAAAAAAATAACAATTGTTTGAAATAGATTTTTTATCAAGAAACCAGTTTGGAATATACGATATGATTGTGAAATCGCACCGGCACACCAAATTGACAGACAACTGAAATTGAAATCGGTTATTTTTATAGACAAAAACTGTGTAGATTCATTTGCATTTGTGGAAAATCATTCTTAAGAAAGCGTAATGAAAATAATTTAAGATGTTAGTAAACGCGGATGAATCTCTATCAACACATCCTAACAAGCGATTTTGTTTGGTTGAAGAGAAACAAAATAAAATTGCATGTATACATGTATATGTACTAAACAGGTGGCGCATCTGATTTCCCATAAGATCTAGTACAGTTTCTCGGTCGAGCCAGCCATCGCTGTTATCCTGAAGTACCGCAAGTCAACGTACAAATCTTGCCGTTCGTAATGAAATTGAATAATACAGATCAAGTGGTAGTGTTTGTGATGTTAGAAATACAACTCGTAAACGTGATAATGTACATGCGATGATATGAACCAAAGTTAAAAAACTGTTAAGAACCTAAACTTTCTAATGCCACCGAACGGAATATTTCTTTTAAAAATTTGCATTTTAAATCAAATCAATCAAATTTTTGGACCAGCTTGCATTAAAACTGTTCAGACAGAGCTTCAAAGCAACTATAAACAGATCCATTTTTTTATATCATGAAAAGATCATCGATAAAGAACACTATCGATAAAGAAATTTTTTGGTTGGACACCATAGTATGAGTACTTCTATAGCCTGTCCATACATTATACATGTGGATTGTCTTATTTAAGAAACAAAAAAGTGTGAACATTTAAAATGGTTTAAAGTTTTCGTTACATTGGCCAAAAGCCTCATTTATTGTTATTTTTTTAATTAACATTTATATTATATAAATTTTATATATAAATTAAAAGCATCGATGCAAAAATATTAATTATATTAATTATTACAATAATTAATAATAATAAGAAACAAATTAATTAAATTAATGAACATTTTAAATGATAATTATCTATTAATACTGTTAATATAAAATACTTAAAACTAAATTGAACTCTTAAATAGGTGAGCTAAAAGTTCAGGTTCTGTTAAATCCATTTTATATTTTTGTACAATGTCTTGTACCTTTAGACGGCGGCGTACATGAGGCGGTTGATAGCTTTAAAGAAAATAAGTAGAAAATTATTTTGTAACTTTATAACTCAAAAATAATAAATACAATTAAAAACGTACTTATCGTTATCCAAACGCCTGCGTTTGGCCATATTGTGTGCAGTTTGACGCACCAAGGTTCCAACAACACGTCGACTCAGTACCATGCCATCAACTAATGGTGTAGCAAAACTCATACGTCCTGCCGGACCTTGTAGTTTGACGCGCAACAGACCCGATTGTAGAGCATGTAAAAATATCACGTGACAATCAGCGGCACGTGGTGGTTGTAATAATTGAGATTCTTCTCCAGTGCGGGTATACGGCAGTAAATCATCTATAAATGACAGAATGACAGAAATATTAATTTCATTAGCAACTTCATTAGACTTCTACCACACACTTACCAATTGGAAAGTTAATGTGATCTTCAAAAGATTCTAACCAAACAAGGAATATTTTCGCTGATGCTTGCGCTAGTAGTGTAGGCTTCATAGCGTTTGTTTTGCGTCTCGTTGGTGGTATAGGATCTTTGGATTTGGTATCTAGTTCCAAAGACAGATTACGTGACTTCTGCGTATTACTGATAGTTTTACTATTTTCAGTAACTGCAGTAGCATCTGTATTCCGTACCCAAACATTGCCCGTACCATTACTGGTGTTTTGCATGCTATCA